TATATATATATATAAATATTTTTACCATTTGTCTTTTTCTACTTTTTGTTATTACAAATAAATCTGACTTTTTTAATATAAAGTTTTATACTTGTTTTAGTTTCTTATTTATTTCCAGAAGTAAATTTACTGAATTGAAGCATGTAATGAACTACATTGGAACATATGGTTAAATTGTTTTACAGAAATTATATACGTATTACATTTAAATCAAGAAAATATGAATGTTTCTGCATTGTCATGCCTTTATTTGCATAGCATGTTGTCATTCAAATGTGTCTGCTATTTTGAAAATTCAAAACATCAATTATATAATTTAACAGTCCACAACCAGACTTTGGGATGCAGTTCAACATTGTTTTATGTTTCTTGGTAGTTATATTTCTTCTTTCGTTGTTAACTTTGTCATATAGTCTTCCTTCTTAATCTACTATGGTATTTATACTGATGAATATTGAGAATTTTAGTTGTTGATATTTAAGATAATAATCCCTTTTATAGTATTTTCTTATAATGATTTTCAAAAGTTTCTTATTTTCATCATTTTTTCTGTTAGAGAGAAAAAAGCAAAATTTTATTATTACATCCACTTATCTTTCCCTCTGTGATTTTTATCTATTGCTGCTATTTAGAATGTCCTTGCCAATGGAAGATTTAAGTACTTGTATTGTTTTCTCTGTTTTATTTTTTGTGACTGATTTACATTCAATTACTTGATCTGTTTGTAATTTAATTTTGTAGGAACTGAGAAATGAGTCACCACATAACTAATTGATTAATTTGTTTTTCTAATTAAGTGTTGTCTGTGTCTATTACTTATTTTATTAATATATATGTGGGAAAACTTTGTCTTTTTTCTGTATTTTCAGAGATTCAATGCAAGATAAATGCCCATTGGAATTTATGCACAATTGCACAATATTTCTTTCAATTGAAGCTCTCTTGCCTCCTAGAACTGTCCCAACTTCAAATTGCTTATAGAAGAAAGTTTTTCAGATCCAATTTTCAAGAGATTGTACATTCCAAGCAGGAGCATGTAATTTCAAAGCACAGTCAACAAGCTGTTAAAAAAACAGTATTCAATGTGGTTTCCTTACTAGTTCCTCTGTAAGGATGCTAGGAACAACAAAGGCTCTCACTGCCAGAGCTGACTTGTGACTTCCCAATAGAAACTAGGTCTCAAGACGCCTCTACATAATCCTGGAGGGACCTGCCACACCTTCCCCCAAGACTAGACATCCGCAATGACTTATATCACACTTGCTCTGAGCAGAGCAGAGAAAACAGAGGCCACAGATAGTGAAGAGGGCACCACCAAGCCGGAGAAACCACAGGTAACAATCTTCTATGAATCCTCAGAAAAAAATAAGGAGAAACACTGACTGTTGTCAGAAAATGAGAATTCATAAAAGTAACAAGCGTTGAGCACTGCCTAATGTAATCAGCACACAATAAATGTGACTGCCCTCGTCACAGCTGTTATAACAGACTCTTGACTGTTCTTTCTCTTTCTACTCTTCTTTTCTATGTACCCTGCACTTTGCTTCCAGTTTTTTTTTTAATATTGCAAAAAGAAAATTCATGGTATCAGAAGACATCAATTATTGAGAATAAGACAGACTAAAAATACAACTGGAAGAGAAAAATAATGAATTTAATAAATGAAAAAATAGGAGACTGGAGAAAATGGTGATTAATTTAGAACTAGTGAAACAATTGACAGTACTGTCACAAAAAGCAAAGGAGAGATTTGGAAAGACATACTGGAAAGAAAGAATTCAAAAAAATTAAAGCAGAATGTTAAACCATTAACATATGCAGTGTGGACTCGATTTTGAGTCTTTGTGAGAACACTAGTGGGATTTGGATGACATGCAGATTCAGGGTGCTGAAAATGAAATAAGAGTGGAAAAATAGAGGCAGAGAAAAATACAGAGCTACTCATGAATTAATCTGTATTCAATCATCAAGGAAAGATTAGTGGCGTGGGAGCAATTTGCAGAGTCAGCCTAAGGAAAGGATATCATGATGTTCTTAAACCTTGCTTTAGTTACCATCAATAACTCTGAACTTTATTTGCAAAGAGTTTAGATCTAATTGGGGCAAAGAGAGAAATTATTTATAATGTTTCTGATTCTCCCTGAGCAAGGATCCTGACACTGAAGCCACATTCATCAATCATGTCCAATGTGACTTACACCTCACAAGACCCCTTTTACTTCATTCTCACGGGCATCCCTGGATTTGAAGCCTCCCACATCTGGATCTCCATTCCTTTCTGCTTCCTCTACACCTTCTCCATCATGGGCAACACCACCATCCTCACTGTCATCTGCAAAGAACCGTCTCTCCACCAGCCCATGCATCTATTTCTCTCCATGCTGGCCCTAAATGACCTGGGTCTCACCCTCACTACCCTGCCCACAGTCATGCAGCTCCTCTGGTTCAACATGTGTAAGATCAGCTTTGAGGCCTGTTTTGCTCAGTTGTTCTTTCTTCATGGATTTTCCATTATGGAATCTTCTGTCCTTCTGGCCATGTCCTTTGACCGCTATGTGGCCATCTGCCGTCCCCTCTATTATGCCGCCATCCTCACCAATAAAATAATTGGTAGAATTGGGTTAGCCATCATTTGCCGCAGCATTCTGGCTGTTCTTCCTTCCCTTTTTCTACTCAAGCGCCTGCCCTTCTGCCATTCTCACCATCTCTCTCATTCCTTCTGCCTCCACCAGGACCTGATCCGCCTGGTCTGTGCTGACATCCGGGTCAACAGTTGGTACGCATTTGCCCTGGTCTTGCTTATTGTCACAATGGATCCTCTGCTTATTGTGCTTTCCTATACACTCATTCTGAAAAACATTTTGGGCACAACCAATTGGACTGAGCGACTCCGCGCCTTCAATAACTGTCTGTCTCACATTTTGGCTGTTCTGGTCCTCTATGTCCCCATGATTGGTGTATCTATGACTCACCGCTTTGCCAAGCATGCCTCTCCATTGGTTCATGCTATCATGGCCAACATCTACCTATTGGCTCCTCCTGTGATGAATCCCATCATTTATAGTGTAAAGACCAAGCAGATCCGCCAGGGAATCTTGCATCTCCTTTTCCCCCAAAATATGCATTCAAAATGAAAGGACGTATTTGTTAATTTACTCAGGAGTAACAGTAATAGACTTGAGGGAAGAATGTATTCAAAACTGGCAAATGGAGACTTTAAAATAAAACCCCATCATATTGTTAAAGTAGTATGATATGTTCCTGGCTTTTAGCAAGAATTGTTTGACTGAGGAGAGCTAGCAGCAATAATTCAATATAAAAGACGTGAAACTGAGTTAATGAAATTCTAGTACTTTTTAACAGCTCTGCCAATGGGATGAGTTTCATTCACTGAATAAAGTCTCTCTAACGTTGTGTCTGTTTTTTATGAATATTCTTCTCTCCCACTGGTTTGTTTAAACATCAACTCCCTGAGTTTGAAAAACATCCTTAGTTGTGGCCCCCACCACTCATTCTTTTAGACAGTTTCACTTATACATTCAAGTTAACTTTAGATATTTTGCTCTGTATCACCCTACAGAAAAGGTATGTGCTCTTTTCTCTTACAAAAGAATGACAAAACTTTGAGTTAGGATGGATGCAGATCAAGTTTCTCAGTCAGTCAGATTTATCTAATCAACATCCAGCATGGTTTTATAGAGCAAAGGAACACATGCAGAGAGTCTAAAATTAGGGTAGGGTGGTAACATTCCCCACAGTTAGAATAAGGCTCCTGCCTAAATAAATTTTCTCAGTACTTAGAATTCAAACTTCAAGTACAGTAAGATTTGTGGGGGAAAAAAACCCCTCATTTTTCTAGCCCAAATAGACTTTTTAAAAAATATACTTAATGTTCTTAACATGGCTCCACTTATTATGAGAAGATTCCTATGGGCATCACGGATTTTGTATTAGCAAATGTGCTAGTAGGAGGCTATGGCCTTTGAGGTTCATAAAATGGTATTTTGTGGAAGCCGGATAAGTTTTCTCAGAAATACCACGTTGAAGAGAGAACTATAATGTTGGTCACAACTTCCGATTACTGAATTAATGGTGTATACTGTCAATATTAGAAGCCACTTAAGTTTGAATCAACACAGGCAGGGCTTCAGTGGGAGCTCAGTGGAAGGCAGCATTAGGAAGTGAAAACCAGAAAGCAAGTTTCAAAGTAATGTCTTTTCTTTCCCATACCCTTTTCTCCTTATTTTTCAGAATCTAGAGCTTAGTTTGTGTTTTCAGAGAACCATAAGTTAGCTGCTGCAGAAAAATAAATTGTAGAACAGAAGACACGTAAAGTCTCAGAAGAGGAGAATTTAAAACCAGGAAATCCAGATACTGAAAAGATCAAGAGAATGAGTAGGAATATGAATCAAAGGAGACTTTTCTTTGGATAGTACAGGTTTGGGAATGTCCCAACTCAGCATGTGAAGATCATGTCAGTTATTTTTAAAGAGGAACACAGGAGCACAGAATACCATAAACAATCTCCAGATAAGAGATATCTATCAATTGACTTTTATGATCACATATAATACATTTCAGACAACAGTCAAAATTTAACTGAAAATCAGATGTAGATTAAATGAAGTCTGTCCCACGTTTGTTCTACTTTTTCTATCTATTTTATTTTCTGCTTATTATTTTCTTTCTTTGCCTGTGTGTAGAGGGGGGCAGGAAACTTTATGACTTAAGAAGTATCATGATGTATTTAGAATATGTTTATATTTCAAAATAGATTTAATTTTTGGACTTTTTTAAATCGGGAAATGTTTCTGCAAAAGTTATTCAGTTCTAAGAATGTATATAACTATACTGATCACATTTTATTACAGAAATGTGTTTGTCATAAAATGTAGAGGATGGTTTTAAGAAGTAATATCATTTATGTCTTTTTGATCATCTGTAAATTATTTTAATGAACTATTTAACAGGAAATAGGATTGGATATTAAATGTTAGGGGTATTAAATTGATTGCATTAATTCAAGTAGTAGACTAGGCAGCTACTATAGAAACTAAACACCTAAGAACCTTTTTACAAATAATGAGCATTAAAAAAAAGATTTAAGAGAACTCAAAGTGACCAAGGTGTTCTTCAGTAAGCTAATGGAAATGGATAAGCTAATTGCAATACATCCTTACAAGGAGACACTATTCAGCAATTTAAAAGGAATAAACTACCAAGTTACTCAAAGATGTGGATGTGTATTTATAAGTGA